TAATACTTAATTGCTGATAATTTTTCTCATTATTAATTTGGAATGATAATTAATAATGATTTTCATAATGGTAATTAATAATTCAGAAATAATCATTTTATATTTATATTAACTCATATTAATTATTTTGAAAATAAATATTTAATGTTAATTATGTATATTAGAATTATTATCAGAAATTATAATTCACACATTTATATGAAATAGTTAATTATATTATTATTATCAATAATTATAATTAATTATTACTAATAACAATGATTTCTGATAAAAATTAATTACTAATTATAATTAATTACTGATAATTAATTCCTTAATTATAACAATGATAATTATTACTTCGGAATGTTATTTAATTAATGATAATTAATAAGTATTTTAATAATGTTAATTATTAATTAGGATATAATCATTTTATATTTATATTAATTAATATTAATTATTTTATAAATATATAATTAGTGTTATTGATTTACATTATTATTATTATTATTATTATTATTATTATTATTATTAATTATATTTAATACTATTATTATTCTCCAATAAATATTTCATTTAGTGAATGTTAAATTATAAACTTTCAATTATTCATTATTGTTAAACTAAAAGAATTATAAAAGCAATTACTATTTCAAGAATTTACTAAAAATCGTAATTATAACAAATTAATTACTTCATAATAATAATAATAATAATAATAATTTAATATTACTTATTTCAAAATCAATACACACATAATAAGAATATAATATTAGTAAATAATAGTAATAATAATATACTTATTATTATTACTGATTTCATAATTATTAATATATTATTAATCTATATTAATCAATAAAGACATGGAATAAAAAAATATTTTAATTACCACTAAATGAATGAACTAAAATCTATGAGTATTCTAATTGACTTGAATTTGACACATCAAATCCTATTTCTATCTCCCAATTCCCATAATTCTAACATACCATTAGGTTTTGTACAAGTTTCCTTACCTTTTTCATAAAGATAAATTCTAGCCAGTCTACATGTATTGTGGGGAACTTAGACTTAAAATCCATAACCATGATTGACCAAAAGAAGTGTTGCCACCTAACTTGGAGGTGACTTCCATACTCAAGATGGTCTCATTATTCTCCTTTCTTTTTCATGTTTCTTCTGTTGGATGGGCTTTGGAGTCCTGATTATATTATCAGTTGATTATAGCCATAAATGATGACGATTTGATTGTAGTCATATATTTTTCATTTCTTACTTCAGAGAATGGATGCATCTACAAATGTTGTTTGGCATGGATTGTTTTTCTTAGCAGCTCTTTGAATGATTTTCTTCCTTTTTTGCCTCTTTAAATGGATATCATTTAAATGCTTTTATCCATTCACATGTCCCTAAATATTAAGCAATATTGATGATATTGTTCTAAACATCCATCTAATTGTATTAATTTATAAATAGATTAATGATTTCAAAGTTATTGATACTTTTTTGGGGGTGAGTTGCTCAACAAGACATTGATTTTTTATTGTTAAATAGTAAATTTCAAATTAAATGATACTGTAGTTTCCCCTTACTTAGTATGGGGTCATTGTATAGATAAAACATGGTAAGTCTCTTAAATCAAATAAAGAGCCTACCCTAAATGTCTATTATAAATAATTAAAAAAATGAAATAATTCAAATTAAATCAAATAATTACTTGCTGAAAATTACTGGATTAAATAAATAATAATAACAATCAATTATTTATAGAAATAATTAATAATAATAGCAATCATCAAGTACTTAATTAAATAAATAATAAAAATGAAATAACAATCATCAGTTATCATTAATGTTTATTCAAAGCATGCCCCATAATAATTACCGAATACARTAATTAAACCTTAAATAAGAATCAATATTTATTAACAGTCATTAAAATTGTTAAGCCAAATCATTAATGTTTATTCTTATATGCAAAATATGAATTAACAAGTCTATTATATAATAATTATAGTCGGTGCTGGGAAGGCTCAATTCGGCCGAATGACGCAGACAGTGAAATAGCCCATCCCCGAATCGCACGTTCTTTCGTTTATTTATATCTTCGCCATCTAGAATTTAGATAGAGATGTTTGGGTTGTGTTGTCTCATATATCTCATCACCTCCCAAAGTTTTTTTTTTTTGCAGTTTCTTTAAGCTCACATTGTCGCAACAGTTACCTCAGGTTTTGTGAAGAGAGGCTGATTTTGGAACGTCCATTCATCCGGGTACAAGTCAAACTCTCATTAATTATTGAGGACTGCTGCTAAATGGCTTCACCCGGGTACAAGCCAATCACATTCCTATATATAGCTGCAAATTCTGGTTATTCAAAAAGACCTAGGAATTGTTCTTTTATTATGGTTGAATGAAATTTAATTTGCCTTTTTTGTCTTAAAAAGTTAAAACACTTCAAATTTTAAATGGGCCTCAATTTATGATATATATATATATATATATATATATATATATATATATAATTTCCTGTACTGAGTCATTCACTAGTTTTAAAAATTATATTAAAAATATTATTTTTATTAATATTAGAGCCCAAAAATTGCCCTTATCATAATCCCTATCCTATTCTCCATTGGAATCTTTGCCGGAAAGGTTAGCTTCTAATGTCAATACGGCTGGTATCTCATTGATAGCAACGAGAAAAAACTATTTTGGTCTACATGATTAAGTTAATTGCAAATAATACTTTCTGGTATTATGAGAACCATCGACAACTAATTTGTGAGGTCTACATGACACTTTTTGTCAATCTGCGTAGAAGGAAAAAACTATTTTGGTCTAGAGTTGCGCTAAAGTAAACTACTTTACATATGCATTTATCATTTTCAATTAAAAAAATTGAAATAGCTTTAATAACCCGTATTTAGTACGGGGTAAGGTTCAAATTATCGATGAAGGCTGATATCATGGCTTGCTTTTTATTTTATTTTATTTTAAGTTTTTCTTCTCTAATTGGTTCAGATGGGTCGATTTGAGGCCCTTTTACCCCGTGAATCAGGTCTGACCCCAAAAACAATCCTGTACAAATGTATCGGGAAGCCATTGATACGGCTCGATATGTATCAAAATTTTGAACCTTGCTACAGGGTCATTCCAATCCGTAAAAGTTTTTAAAACTCCTTAGCCAACCTTTATGTATTACACATTCTTTGGTCATGATGCTTTTTTCAGAACAAAAAGAGAAGAAAAACATGCACCAAGGCCACAGTTCATGTTATGGCATGCTCATTTGCTCTAATGTTTGACATTTTAAAGTGTAATAATTATATTAAGATATATATTGGTATTGGTGAGCTTTTCTTACCTCTAAACTCTAATAATGTTATTCTAAATTATAAAGATTGGAAAATATTCATTTTAATCTATATATGAGAATTTTTGTTTGTACTTTGAGGATATCATTGAAAAACAAATAGTTATAAGATTTCTCTTTAAGGCCTCGTTCGCTTTTCGGTAAGTTACTTACCCGGGTAAATACAATTACCTGGGTAAGTTTTTCCTGGGAAACACTTACCTGGGTAAGTGCGTTTACCCATGTTCTTTTATTTCTCATATAAATAAGGCAATGACCATTTTAGCCATAAAAGTCTATTATTAAAAAGGGCATTTTTGTCTCATTCAAGTGTTGGTAACTTTCCCCCTAGGTGAGAAAGTTATTTATCCATCTAAGATATGGGTATCACTTACCCGGGTAAGTGATACACAAGAAAATAAACTTTCCTTGGTCCCCACATAAATCTGAAAAAAGAACATGGGATTTTTGGTCAATGGGAACTTCCCATTGACCAACTTTCCCCCCTCTCAAAATCCAAAAAAAGAATGCCCCCTAAGAGATAAAAGATAAATGAAAACGAACGCCCATTTTCCTCTTAAAATTGTAAAATTCCTCTTAAGAAATAGGAGTTAAGAGAAAAAAAACTGACCTTTAACCAATAGATAGAAAAGTTATTCACATGTTACGTATCGTTGGATGATTGATGGTAATATTGTGTGGATCTCAGTTCCAGCTTGCTACAGGGGTTGTTGGGACAGCTTAAAGCTTTATTCTTAGAGAAATGGATCCCAGATTTCCTTGGACCACATTTTCTACGACAATTTCATTGCCCTACACTAAAACAATTAGGGATTTTTATAGTTCAGTCCACCACAGAAATCTAAGCCCCACCGTACAGATGGAATGAATCCTGATCATGGAACATTGCCAAATCCATGGCCAGGATGCGATGATTTATAAGGGACTACTAATAAAGTTGGAGGTGGCTGTAATTTCAGATTTTGAGGTGGATGACAGTCTAACTTATCACAAACAATTAAATCAAAGCTGCCATGGCCCACCTTGAATTAGATGAAATGACTTATTGATGGGGCCACTACGGTACATTTAAGGCCATTATTTCCGTTTTAGCCCTAAGCTACTACAGTGTCATGGATCTCCTATACTTTTACGTGTACTTCCATTCAGTTTGTAACACATGTCCTATCATGCTCACACGTATAAGATAACATATGTAATGGGACACTTGTCTCAAACAGACCAAATGAAAATGCAGGAAAAGATGTATGAGATCCTAAATCTTCGTGGTCCTACACCCTATTCAATGTCTAATACCACCCTCACACGAGTTCACATCTGCGCCCCACGCCCATCCCGTCGTGTATTGAGAACATCTCCCGATGATGTACCAGAAGTGATGATGTCATCATCGGAAAATGTTTTCAATGCACGGTGGGATGTGCTGTGAGACATTGTGAGGCGCAGATCTGAACTCCCCTCACACAGCCTTACCCTTACGAAAGTTTTGATTCCTTCATGGCATGGCCACAAGGTTCAAAAGCTTCAATTTGGATGGTGTTTAGTTCTGTGGCCGTTAAACGGTATCAAGTCATCGTTATGTAGGCATTGAAGGAAACACCATTATTTGATAACATTGTTTATTAAATAAATATTTTCCGAGTGTAAAAGTTAGTTTAAAACCTTTGCTCCTATTTTGAATTCAAACATGTCAGAAAAACAAATTTATCCTTACCAAAATGCCTGCAAAATCAAAGCAGAGTGAAAATTCGCTTTGCTTCGCATTCAGTTCAGCCAAGGATATCTCAAGAAGCAGAAGCAAAAAGATGCATTAACACCGCCTGCTTTATCACCTCTGACGAATTATGCGTATTGCTACTTCAACAGTTCAAGTGGATGTTATCTAGAATTCCCTCCAGTCTTCGGAATCACTAATATCAAACACAATACTTCTAACGAGTGGAGATGAGTTGGAAAGTAATACTTTTCCACTATTTGACAACACTGCATTTTTCTTTGTTGCAGAAATACCAAGGTTATTTGCTGCTAGGAGAAGACGCTTCCCAACTTCAGTTCTTCCAAACTCAGGCAACGGATCTCCAGGACTGGGCTTGGCAGGTAATGGGAGTTGTAAGATTCTAGGTGGTGTTTTGGGCATGCACTGAGGTGCATTTTGAACCTGTGACTTTGAATGGCATTCATCCTTTGCAGTCAATAGTTCATCTTGATGGACTTGATTGGTTCCACGGGCCTCGTCATCCTCAACACCACCACTGTTTGGAGGACACTCAAATTGGTTCACCTCATCAAACTGTGGAAAGTATCTTGTGATGATATCTGTTATTGATGCTACCTCGGATGAGCTCACACTGGGGACTGCCCTAATTGTTGTTTCAGAAACATGTGCTCTGTCATCCTTCTCATTCTCTCCAAAGTCACCAGACTCCCCTTTAGAACAAACACCTGGGGCTTCCTCAATTGCACCAAGAGATCTTTTGTGCATTCCATCAGCAGTATCTTCTATAAAGCGTTTTTCCTTTAATTTTCTCTTCTTTTTCCTTGAATTATAAACTGGCATTAGAAGTTCTTCTAACACATCTTCAAAGCATTTATACCTCTCTCTCCTTTCCCTAGCTTTATCTTTTCTCTTATTCTTACTTAAGCAAGAAATATGCTTCTTGGGTATCTGAGAACTGGTAACATTGCTATCATCCGAAATACAGTCACTGACTTTGGCAACCAAACTCTTAGATTGGCATGACTTGTCAGAACCATTTGCAGGATTTGCTTCCACACGAAGAAACCAAGCTCCTTTCGGTCCATGAAAGACATTTTTTATAGGCATAAAGTCAGATAAATGGTAAAAGAATGAGTTTCTTTTCACCTACATGAGGCCAATAAAAAAATGGATTCATTAGATAAAATACACCTTAACTTTAAAATTGAATATGAGAACAAGAAAATACTTGATCAGTCATACCATTAGTGCATGGACCTTAATTTCCCCTAAATTTGGAAAACAAATCTGGTGCTCCTTTTCAAATTTTCCTGTCATAACAGCTTAGACACTGGTTACTTTCCAGAAAACATTCAGACAGTATGGCTGTATTTGGTTTGAAGGAAAAGGTAGGGAAAGGAAGGGAAAGGCAGGAAAACCTACACAAGGTTTGTACATGTTTCCTTTCCTTTCCTTTCCCTACCTTTTCCTTCAAGCCAAACATAACCTATATGAATACCAATAAATTAATATCGTAAACTGTAAGAATTAATGAGATATGTATGGTAAACAATTATAGCCTGTTGATTAATAGCTAAAAATAACACATGAAATAACATTCATGGACCTCTGCTTGTCATTGGTTGCGTTCATTTTTATCTAGTTTTTAATACTTCAAAAAAAAAATTAAGGGAGAACATTTAATGTTAGCTGTGATAAGAAAAAGCAATATGGCCTTTGGTCAGAATGGGGGAGTTGGATTCATGCTCCCAGCGCCACTTAGGCAAATGATAATGATTACTCGATAATCATGCTTGATATCCTAACAACCTATTATGATCATGTGGACCTAGTACTGATGCAATCCACCCATAACAACTCGTTGTTCAGAGAAGAGCCAAACCAGATGGTTCTATCTGCTCTACAGACTTTTTTCCTGCACATTATTAGCAACTTGGCTTTTTTAGGTAGTTAATGTTATAGCTTATCAATATAAGAAATTGATAAAAAAAAAAAAAAAAAACTTCATCAATATAAAAACAAAATCACAAGTGGTAAGAAAAAGAGGTCCACCTTACTCATTTATGGATCCCTTATATAATTGTATACAAAAAGTTCAAGAAAGCCCAACTTCTAAAAATGCTAAAGACTTCAATTCAGATAAACCATAATCCCTATTTGAGGTCGGCTACATGAATGCTGTTCCACCATTGTGCTCTATCAGGAACCATGTTTATGTCTTAGCATTTCATCCCGTTGATTACTGAGTCCCTATAAATTCTTGAGAGGGTCCTGAGTCCTGACCTCACTTCCATCCAAGATAAAAGATCAGATGTGCTTACAAACTCTTGAGGGTGGTCCTGACCTAACTTCACTTCAAATATCCTCTTATTCTTTTCTTTGTTCCATAGGAAAGCTAATGACATATTGAGGGGTAATAAATCTGGCCCAATGTAAATTTTTAAAGAAGGTATGACACTTGAATACAGTGGAATGGGCAAAACAGGATTTGTGTAGCTGATAATTTCTGCACTGCTGCCAAAGAATTGCAAGGATCTGAACCAAAAAAAGTATTGTATATACTTAGTGAAGATTAAGGAACAACAGTTGTTGATTTGTGATGACAGAGACACTAGAGGAAGTTTATTCTTTTATGAAATAAACAACCATTTTTGCCATTATCTTCAGTGTAGGCTCCATATTATATTCAAGATTTCACCAAGAATAATAAATGGTAAACAGATAAGTAAAAAAACTCAATGGTTTTCACTTTTCAATGAACAACCAAATGGGATAACTAATCAACAATCCTTTCCATTTCCTTCAAATTGTTTCTCCAGAGAAGGTTCCTTTACATCTTGTTTTTGTTTATACATTCATTGTCTATGGTGAAAATACCTAAATTTATCTGTAGAAGATGGATAAAATGCAAAGGGGTTTCTGGTTGAAGAATGGCAAAGAAAATGAATCTCATAATTTATGGAAAGAATGACAAAGACAATGAATCTCTAAATTCATACCAGTGGTATATGTTGTAAACCAGGAAGAAAATGATTATAGGTTCTTAGGAAGATATGAATGATGCCCTTGATGGGGGATTTTAGATGCTACTGATGAGTAATGATCTTTGGGCCAGAATTTTAAGTGTATGTACCTTCAAATCCTAGTATCCTAAATCATCTAATACCCAAAATATTTTTTTGATGAATTAATACCCAAAATATGTTCATGTGGGAGTTTTTTAACACTGAAACCTACCCATTAGCTTTACCCCATTAATCTATATGCTTCCAAAATTTGCAGTCCTGAAAAATCTTAGAGATTCCCTAATCTGTTGATTCTGTTCAGAATTGCAAGAAACAGGAATGGGCTGGTCGATGACAACTTTGAATTAGTTAACAATAGTCCTGTGTGGAGACCTTTGTTCAGAAGGCATTTAAACGACTGGGAAATTACAGGGATGGTGGAACTTCTACAATGTCTGAGGACTGAAATCAATCTTTCTCAAGAAGATAGAAGAATTAATTTACCAAAAAAGAGAAGATAGAAGAATTTGGATATGGAACAAATCACAAATCAGGTATTTTCTCTGTAAAATCCATCTACTCCTAAGTGGCAAGAATGGATGAAGGCTCTTTCCCAGAAGAATTTTGTTTGGCACTGTCATGTTCCTAAAACTTGAGGAGGGGAATGGTGCTGAATGGAGGATTGTTGGTATCTCCTAAGTGGTTCTTAATTCTTGTTTATCCAAGGAAAACTTGAGGAGGGGAATGGTGCTGAATGGAGAAACTTGTGTCATGTGCAATGAAGCAATGTAGAGCACTAATCACCTGTTCATCCATTGTAAGATTGCTGAAACTCTCTGGCAGTGGGTGCAAAATGTCTTTGAGGTGGTTACCTGGAGTTAGTGGAAGATTTGGTCAATTGTTGGTATCTCACTGGGCTAAGGAAGGAAGGAAAGATTGTGTGGAGGATTGCACTTTTTCTGTTTTTTGGACTTTATGGACAGAGAGGAACTCTAGGATCTTTGACAACAAATGTTATACAGTTGAGGGCATGTTAGTTATATTGAAGGCTAAATTTTTTCTTGGGTGGGTGTGCATAGGGCATTTTATAGTAAATCTTATGATTTTTTTTTTTTTGACAAAAAGATTGCTTTTTTGTAAAATCTGCCAATCAAGGGCGAAAGGTTGTATATTCTAAATGTACAGTTCCTTGGTGTACACAGAGTCTTTTTGCTATTAATAGAAGTTATAAACTGCCTTTTTCACAAAAAAAAGGACCATTCCTAACATCATTCAAGATATTTCATATACTTGCACTTGTAACACTTTGAAGGAGGATAGGCTTTACTGGAGTCTGGACTACTTCACAAAAATGACAATTTACCACTGAAACCAGCTTATAAGGGCTACATGTGGTGTGAGTAACTAGATAGTTTTGATCATAAATCAGGAAAACCTATGGAATAATGTTAATAGATCAAGAACTTGACTATTGTGGTACTGCATGCATAAAATCTTGCCTGGAAGGGATAGGCCAACTACCATAGGTTTAAAGGTGGTTTCCTTTGTGCCACTATCCAACCTCAAGTATTGCTCTCTCTCTCTCTCTCTTCCAACTTCTAGTATTTTGTTCTAGGGACTTCTCTTTTCTTTTTTTGTACAACTTTGTATGAAACATCATTACTGTCCTGCTGTTAAACAGCATGTTTTGTCCTTGTTGACAATATTGATCCATTGTAAACAAAAGAAGAATGTGCCTTTCATGACATAGAACAGTTGGCATTGTTAATACATGTTCAGAGAGGCCATCCTTTCTTATAGAGGGGCTTATCAAGGTTCCTGTCAACAGACTAATGTTATGCAGTTGACAGACATTTTTTTTTTTTGATAATTGGCACAGAAGTTTAATGCTGAACCAAGAACAACTATGAAGGATGAAGATGAAGCTGGTAATGGTAATGGGCATCTTTGCACGCAGAATCTGGAAATTCAAGAATTACCATGATATACTTCATATGTGAACTGTAGGCGTTCCCTTCGGCGCTGGACATTAAGAATCTAAAAAGTCGTTCTGTTATATGTAAATTTGCAAATCGAATAGGTTAACGCTTGTAGCCCTTTATGTCGCCAGAGGGTAAGCAGATTCTCATACAGTCGGTTTGAGCCGATACTCCTCCATGGATCAGGTCTGCTTTGGAGGAGTGTTTTTCATCTATTATTAGTTTTCCCTTTTATTTTGAAGTTTTCTTATCAAAAAGTCATCTTTTCACTCTTGCACCAAAATGGAGCAAAGAATTGAGAACCCACATCCATGAAAAATTAAGAACGCATCAGCAGATAGACGATGGATGATTTTACCAGAAAATACATGAAAAAAAAAAACATCCAGAGTCCTTAAGTTGAGGGAAAACAAATGCATATACATATAAAGGAAACAAAGGAGACAGGAAAGGGAAGGAACGAACAAAGTTGGTACTCTCAGCGAAAGATGTAGCAGGGTAAGAAAGCGAAAATAGAATGACAAATGACAATGAAGGGTTTTTCTTACTTTTGAGATCTCCAGTTGTGATATCGGGAGAGACAGCCATGGACATGCAGGTGCCTAGGCTTGTATCTGCGAACACAGGAACTTCTCCAGTAAAGCAAACCATTCCTCATGGAAGAAATTGTCACATTCGTCCGCTTTCCAGGGAAGTAGCTTCTTATTATAAAGTAAACCATTCCTCATCGGATCGGATCTGTATCGGATATGCTATGAAATAATCCGAGTCGAATTCGAACTGGTGAAAATAGAATCCGACGGATTCGAATTCATATCGTATGATTGATTTTTCTATCGAATTGAATTCGAATTCGAATTCATATTTGTCGTTGTCGATTCCAAATGGCCGATGACCGAGTAGGCGTTAGCCCTTCCGATATGGTGTGTAAAAATACTCAAACTGTCAAACCGAAACTACAGAATAGATCGAATCAGATGGTTTTGATCGCCTAATCAGTTTTCTGATCGATCTCCTCTACTTGAGTCAATCATATAGTCCATCGATAGGTATCCCACGTCTCTAATGCGCTCTATACGCACACGTAGGTAGGACGTTGGGGTGCAAGTCTGGCGGATTGGGCCGGGTTTATGGTCAACCCAGGCCCAACCTAAGATTTGGGCAGCTCGAGTTCGGATGAAACCCGAGGTTAAGCCCAATTTTCCCAATTCGAGCCTGGTCTATATTGTAATTTGATGTATTCGGATTTGGGTCAGGCTCGGGTTAGTCAATGAATATGTATGTTTATTAGTCATGCTATTACCGGGGTTTAGACTACCTAAAGGCTAGGCCGGGCCCAACCTAAAAAATAAAAAGTCTGAATTATTGGGCCCAAAACCAATCTAAGGACTGAAAATTCAAGCCCAGCCAATATAAAATTTTGGACCGACCCCTTTTTTCCCAAAGTGCTAATTGCGGAATTTGATTCTGCGTCTTGCTGGAACAAACTAGCTAACACACCAATGAGCCAGCCCTCGGTTGGTGTTCGGGCTCAAATTAGACCCACCCAAGTTGCATCCCTACAAATAGGTACTTGCAGTGTAATACAAAGCCCTTGATAAGGGTAATTTTGTGATCTATCTCTCTCTCTCAAGTTCACTAATTCTAGGTTTTTCCTCATTTGAGTCACCTAGGCAATAGATAGCTTGTTTGGTTGTGCAATGTTCTTTACAAGATACATACATACCGGAGGAATTCTGTTTTGTGATATCGTTCTAATAAAAAATTTTATCAGATATATCCAAAAGACAAGACAGGGGGTGGCAGAGGGGAACCATCCCCCCCCCCCCCCATGCCTTAAAAATCGTCATAGTAGCTATTTAAATCCCACATATATTTTGCCCCTTTACCCATGTTTCTTATCTTTTGGCCCCCCCTATCTATGTTTATTATGATTTGGTCCTCCTCAATAAAAAAATCGTAGTTGTGCCCCTAATGACAATGGCTATGAACATAACTAGGATAATTGCAGAAAAATCCCAATGTGAATGGCATCGATTTGAAAATGTGGTTTTTGATATTTTTACAAAAACAAAAGTGCCTTATTTCTCTAATAAGGTGAAGGGGCACACGTAAAATGATGAAGATCATCCTTGGCTGAACTGGTTTCCTATGAGAAAGGATTCATTGAGCTAGATCCTTCATTATTACCAAATAAAGATTTAATGATTAAATAAATTAGGGAGCAATTAGTGGGATTGCATTCTTTCATTTATAGAAGTTATGTAATAAAATTGGAACAAAAAGAAGAATGAATGAGGAGATCTTTTTCTCTTGAGTAATGAAAATTTTCACCATAGCTTGAGGGAAGAGTGAGTATAAGAGTAGCTTCCCAATCTCAACAAGTTGGTGAAGAGTTATATAACATTTTGGTATCAGAGCATACCAGTCCTAGGGGTGAAGGAAGCTTGAGGATGGAAAAAATGGAGGAAACTATAAGGAGTCTTAAAGCATCTTAGGATATCTTGAATACCAAGCTAGATGAAACCCTAGATCAGCTAAGTCAAACCCAACTTAGTCCAAGGAAGAGGGAAGGATCCAAAGGACGAGGCTCACCAACAACCGTACCCACTGATGGGCCCATGGATAGTAACCAGACTCCTAGGCCTTATGGTGGGATGGTAATTCATGGCCAAACTATACTATGACTACCATAAAGTACCGAAAGAGTAGTGGGTCAAGATTGTGAGTTTTAATATGAAGGGTGATACCATTGAATGGTTTCAGTGGTATTGTGGATACCAACCCAATCCGTCATGGTAGGAATTTGTTGAAGTGTTGGAAGCAAGATTTGGGCCTATTAGAAGTGATGATTATGCAGGTAAGCTAGCCAAGCTTATGCAAATTATATTTGTGCTCAAGTATTAAAAAGAGTTTTAGAGACTATCTTACAGAGTGTCTGAGCTTTCGGAATCCTATTTGATTAGCTTGTTTGTAAGTGGACTCAAGGATGAGTTAAGATTTAGGGTAAAAGTTTGCACCAAAAAAGCTAAATCATGCTTTAACCTTGGCTCAATTGCAAGAAGAGGAGATTCAAGCATGAAGACAAGTTATTTGTGTGGAGATCAATAAGCAAAAGGTTCAGGTAGGGCCTATTGTGCCAAATCCATGCATACCCATCATCATGAAGCTCACTCCCATGGAAGCAAGAGAAAGAAGGGAGAAAGGTCTTTCCTATTGTTGAAGCTTTAGACAAATTGTGTAGTCTATAGTGATAGTTTTGATTATTTATTGTTTAGATGGGAAGTGGGAACCACAACACTCTTGTTGGGTCCTTTTTTTAGCAGTTATTTTAATTGTTTTATGTGTTAGCCGCCCAATAAGAGAATATTAGTCTTTATACTCTTTTTTATTTTAGACTATAAATAATAGGGAAGAGAGCGGCCAGCATTCTTGCTCTCTTTTCTCTCTCAAATCTCTTCTCTTCCTTTTCTCCTAACTTCTCTTCTTCTTCAAGAAATATTCATTTTTTTACATATCTTTATTTCAACACCTTTCTACTTGGTATCAAAGTTCGGCTAGGGTTTCTCGAAGTTTTTTCCATGCAGTCTAGATTAGCTGATTGCATGAAGAGATAAAGGGTTGATCGATCTACTTTAAATTGCCTAGTTTTTGGATTTTTTTAGTGTGATCTAGTCGTCAAGAGGGTGATCTATGTTTTGGCATCAAAATCAAGAAGAACTAGAGTGCAGGGAAGAGTCCTAATCAAGTTGGACTCTTCAATTTTGATATGATCTTGGGCACTCAGGTATTGTTGGACTTCTCTAGGTATTCTATAGGGACAGTTAGATTTCTGGAATTTTCTAGGCCTTTTGAAGTGGCTGATTCACTTTTCTCTCTAGTGGGAGACAGTGGGAGGAGAGAGATTTCTCTCTAGATAGGGTTTTCTTCTTCTAAAAAGGTTCATTAACTTTTTGTGTGTGATCAATTTAATCTTGGAGGCTCTCTACCTAATTATGTTTTTTTTTTTTTACTTTTGAACTGTTTGAAGTAAAATGGAGAGTTGGAGTACCGAGTAGAAGTCCACTAGTAACATGGGTTTGGGTATTGGAGGTAGTAATGATATTTTTGGGTTTAAAATTATTACTATAGTGAACTTTGATGGTACAAATTAACTAGAATGGGCACAATCAGTCAAGATGGCCATTGGTGCTTGTGGAAAATTGGGGTACATCACTGAGGAGGAGAAGAAACCTAATATAGATCCCTCCTGATGGATACAAGAGAATTACATGGTGATGAGATGGTTGCGTAACTCTATGTTACCTCATATTGGTAAAAATTTTTTGTGGGCTAATACAAAGGAGATTTGGGATGGAGTGATTGAAACCTATTCCCATAAAGAAAATGTAAATAGAGCCTATCAGTTAAGGAATTAGGTGATTAGCACAAAACAGGGGCGGAGCTAGGGGATCCAAGGGAGACATAGCCCCCCTATGGTCCAAAAATCCTTACTTGTTATACAATATTCTATGCAAATTTTCCCCACCCCAATGGTTGCCCCCCTATAGGCCCATCCATATTTATTCCCCCCTGAATCCCACTTTAGGTTTTGGTCCCCTCATAAAAAATTCTTGGCTTTTTCCTTGATGTAAAAGCTAAAGCACCTAAGCAACAATGGAACCTACAAGTTAGAAATATTATAGATGAATTCAAGGATGTGTTTCAAGAGCCCAAGAGACTACCACCTTCATGATCTTGTGATCACAACATTCCATTGGAGGAGGGTGCCAAACCAATAAGTGTGCGATCCTACCACTATCCTTATTTCCAAGAAAAATGAAATTGAAAGATTAGTAAATAATTGTTGACTAGTGAAGTTATATGCCCTAGTACCAATCACTATTCCTCCTCCATTTTATTAGCCAAAAAACAAGACGACACATGGCATATGTGTGTTGATTACCGTGCTTTGAACAATGTTACAATCAAAGAAAAGTTTTTTATTCCTATGGATGATGAATCAATGAATGAGCTTTATGGTCCACAATATTTTTTAAGCTTAGATCCAACTAGCACAAAATCCGAGTAAAAGAATCAGATATCCAAAAGACTGCTTTTAGGACCCATGAATGCCATTATGAATTATGTCATTTGGCCTTATTGTTGCTCCATTAACAATTTTTCTTAAGAAGGGGGCATTAATAAGGCCATTTGGCCTTATTCATTGACAACTATGGAAAAATTATTGCTCCATTAACAATTTTGCTTAAGAAGAATGGTTGGGGATGGAATGAGTCAGCTAATTTGGCTTTCAATCAATTAAAGAAGATATGACACTTCCTCTAGTATTAACATTATTGGATTATACAAAGCCCTTACTTGTTGAATGTGATGCAAGTGGAAGCGTGATTGGAGCTATCTTAATGCAAGAAGGATGTCCTCTAACCTTCATGAGTCAGGCTTTCCGTGGAAAGAACCTTGTCTTGTCCACATATGAGAAAGAGCTTTTAGCTATTGTGGTACTCATAAAAAATGGCATTCCTACCTATTAGGACATAAGTTCATTATGAGAACTGATCAAACAAACTTGAAATATCTCCTTGATCAAAGGGTAACCACACCAAATCAACAAAGATGGTTAAGCAAATTGGTAGGTTTTGATTATAGCATTGAATATAAGAGGGGAAAGGAAAATGGTGTAGCTGATGCTTTTTTACACAGAGAGGAGGATGGATTGCTTTATATATCTCTACCCTCAACCAGCTGGTTAGAGAGAATTAA